TCTTTATGAAAGGCAACATCTACAGTCACGAGGCATGGGGTGTGTAACCTCTTGCTTTTTCACCACATATAATACATTACCTCAGAAGCATGAAAGTAAAATAGGATTTTTGCTCCCGAGTCAGCGTCCTGCTGATCGAAATCCTCTAGCAACAGCGGGGAAATGTGCTGGCTGTTTCGATTACTGCATAAAAACAGTCATTCTTGCCATAGCCCTACTTCTGCTACGGTCGAGTTAGCTATCAAATAAGTGACTTTAGTCATTATGTGGTAACTAACATATTAAATCTGAGACATGTCTTAATCCACTTGGCCTCACATGCCAACCATCCTAACATCATTATATCCGTAACAACTTGATTAGTTAGCTACTTGTTAAGAGATGGGGACAAGAAATTCATACAAGGGATTCTGTATCGTCGTCTATTCAGAAGGCAAAAGATACGATCAACGTACAATGCTACGTCTTTCAGTATAGTCTCTAGCGGCTAATTATTTTGGGCGTCATTCACCCCTCGGAGTCTTCCTTTCGTTCTCGATCCGATATTCGAACATACAGTATTATTTTCTTCAGACAAACGTCATTTCTTTCTTAGCGGGACCAGAATGCCGTAGTTTCTGCCTTTGTAGACCATCTTCATGGTATCTGAAGATAAAATAAACAGTTGTTGTGACTGATTAGTTCTCTCATGTCTGGAAATGGGAAAAGACCGCAGACAAACATGTGTTTAAGAGAGAGAACGAAGACATGTCGTGACAGATGCCTATAATTCTAGCCACCAGGAAGGAAAGAGTCGTCGGATCACGTGCCACAGAGTCCTATTCGACATTGTGGTGTGTCGATCTAGCGTCCACTTCAAGAATAGAAGAAATTCTGATCGACAAAGTTGTAAAATGAGGGGATTCTTCACTGCTCTCAACTTAGAATGCAAACAGACGCAAATGTTTGCTTTTCGAACTCCTCGAATATCGAATACTTCAATCATCAAGTAAACTTACGCCTTAAGCTACTTTACTTGTTATTTTATAACGTTAACCGGTTTTATAACGATCTTTTCCTACGTTTACTTCCGTTATAAACAATAGCTGTTATTTTTCGGGTCATAAGAAGAGGTGCTAATTACGTCATTCAACGAAATGAACTCAAACTCCATATCTTCCTCTTTGTTCCGACGTTTGAATACCTAGACATTTT